AGTCTATGTGGAAAGGTGGCAACAGCTTAGAGGAAGAGCCGAGAGGACTCTCTCTGCTGGACGCCACGGCTCCGCACCAAGCCACACCAGTGTCCACAGAACTCCAGGGCAGCGCAGGAATCGGGGCCTCTGCGGCTCCCTGGGGGGACCCCCAGCCACAGCCCGGGTCGGAGCCCTGCGGTCAGCGGCCAGGGTCAGCACCCGGCACAGCGCTTCCGCCCCCTCTGCTCGTCGCGGAGTGGAGTGTCTGTGACGCCCCCGACGGCCCTGCGTCACGTCTGCTCAGCTGTGCGATGGCGCTGCCTCCCTTCACGACGTGGAGGCGCAGTCCTGACGTCAGGGGGTTGCTGGGTGAACCAGCAGATGCCCTGTCTGCCTGTCACCTCCCCCTCGTCTCGGGGGCGCCAGAGGTGGTCAAAGCAGACAGAGAGGGGCCTCTCGCCACTTGAGAAGCTTGTTTCGTTTGCTCGACAGCTTCCAGCCCGGGAAAGCTGGATCCTGGATCCTAGAGGCGTGTCTCAGAGCCCCAGGCACGGCGGGTGATGCCCGTGGCCTCGCCGACTGGATGGAGGGAGAGGCGGCCACTCCGCTGCTGTGGGCAGCGGGTCAGGCTGTGGGCAGTGCTGTGCTTGCAGATGGCAGAGCCCGTGCGTGGAGGCTTGCCGAGGCCCTGACATGACATGACGGGCATTGAGGGCTCTGGGCGCCCTGCTTCAGGTCCACGCTGGTGTTCCGGAGAGCTCTGTGCTCTCCACACTGCGGTCACAGAGGTGCGGCCGGGAGACCCGGGCCCAGGCGCCCGCCCCTCCCTGGACCCATGGAGGCTCTGACGCCAGGGCAGCCATTACAGAGGAATGTCTGTCCATTTATCTGCATGCTCAGACTTTCCCACGCGCCCCAGGTCTTATCATCAGGAAACAGAGACCTCAAGGACGCAGTGCCTGGATGGCCAGGCACTTGGTGGGCGGCGCTCATGCGGGCTCTGCCCTCCACGTTGACCCCCCGCCCACCCATCTTGGGCGGAGAACCGGCGTGCTCTGCCCATGAAGGGGAAGGACCCCTGCCAACACGCTGACCGGAATATGGGCTGAATCCTCACCACCTCGGCCTCCCCGTCTCTGAGGCGGGAGGCCAGAGCCGCTGTCCCGCAGGGGACACTCAGCCCGTGCCTGCCTCGGCCAGGAGTTCTGCGAACACTGGGGTGCGCGGGCCTTGGGGGCGCCTCAGCTCAGACCCCACAGAGGGTGACTCTGCTCAGGAAGCCCCCTGCCCTGAGCCCGGGAACACAGCGAGCCACACCCCATGTCCGTCCCCCGAGGGGAGCCCCTCTGTGCCTCTTGTCCCCAACACCAGGCGTGACGCCGACAGCCGCAGGCCACTGGGCAAGGCGCCCCCCACAATGGCTCCTGCTGCAGTGCGGGCTTCATGCTGGAGGCTGGGTGCCCATCTCAGCTCCCTGTGTGGCCACGGCCCCCCAGCTGCCCTCTGGGGCCTGGTCAGTGAGGACACAGCGCCGGCGAGGGGGACCGGGCACCCTGACCCCCACGGAGCCTGGGCTGGCGGCCTACCGAGCAGCACCGCAAACCTGATGCCAGCTGGGCCCCGGGGGACAGATCCCTGGGGTGGGAGTCCCCCACACCCCGGAGGCCGTGGTGGGGGCTTATCTGGGGGGCTCACCTCCCCCGTACATCTGGCACAGATACGGGAACCGCCAGAGGTTGCCCAGGCCCACGGCGAAGCCCACGCAGCTCAGCAGGTACTGGAGCTTGTTGTCCCAGGCTGGCCGCGCCTCCCCGCCACCCTCCGTGGGTGGAGCGGGCCCCGGGGCGCCTGCCATGCCTGCCACGGCCCGGAGCCTCTGCCGCGGTGGGAAGCCACCAGCCTTCTGCCCCGCGGGCGTGCTTTTTCACAATTTAAAGGAAAACCAGTGGAACCGGTTAATTGGTAACAGCCCCTCCGACCACACGCCTATCCTGACCCTGAGCCCTCCCTGGCTCGTTCCCGCCCGACGTCTGTGGCCACCACCACTGACGCGAGAACCTCAGGGGTTCCAAGGCTGGGGCCCGTTTACCTGTTCCATAAACGTTGTTCACTCTTAATAAACTTTCCGGAATGACAGTCGGCACACATGTGGATGAGAGGAGCAGTTCTGAGCGCCCACGTGCCCCCACTTGACACCCTGCAGGCAGCTACCAGCATTGAGGCTGACGCGGTGGACACGGCCATCCCCGGAGGAGCCTCCATCCCTCGTGTGGCCGCACCCCTGACGGCCTGCTTCTGCTGTCCCTCCCCATGGAGGGACGCTGTGGAAACTGTGTGAGCTGGGCTACGGGCCTCGGTCTCTGGAGACCCGCCTGGCAGGTGGTTGTATGGCCCGTGGGGCTCTGTGTCCACCACGCACTGACCGGGGTGGCCATGAGGAAGAGCTGCAATAAACATCTGCAATGGGATTGCGTGTGGACGTGGGCGAACGCCCGAGTAGGACTGCCAGGCCAGGCGCCAGGTCTACTTTTAAGCCACAGTTATTTTCCAAAGATGTCCAGACCTCTCAGATGGTCTGAATGTGACCTTTCCATCTGACTCACGGTGCTCCCCTTCCATCTGGCTTCCAGTGCTCCCTTTCCATCTGACTCACGGTGCTCCCCTTCCATCTGACCACAGTGCTCCCCTTCCAGCTGGCTCCCGCTGCTCCTCTGCAGAGAATGTCCAGATGAGTTCCAGAAGACCACCCCTTCCTTAGCATCCGCCAGCCCCTAGCCCAGGAATCCTCGCTGCTATGAGCTCACTGTGAGCTGTGGTGGAATGGCGACCTGCGTCCCCAAGGGGCTCCCTGGGAGGGTGACGGGGGCGGGTGACACCGGGCATGGGGAGGGGCTTGGCTAGGCTCGGGGGGTATGTGAGCCCTTCCCTCAGCTCGGGTGCCCTCCTGTCTGGGGGCTGGAGCGGTGAGGAGCACACACGATGGGTTCAGCTGAGGCCTCCCCGTGGGGGCTCCCTGGACCCTCGCCCCCACCGCCCAGCAGACGCCTCCAGCAGGACAGGACCGGGCCCCTTATGCGTAATCTCACTTTCCTTGGACACGCCCCTCAGCCGGGCTGCATGGTCCCAAACACGGGGCCCTGGAAGTGCAGGTCCCGCCGAGGAAGGGAGAATCAGACGGAAAGGAGTGGGAGAGGGAAGACAGGTGACGGGTGAGGCCCATCCTTTCCCTGTCCCCCCACCCAGGGGCCTCACCAGCAGCCCCCACCAGAGGCCAAGGCCCACCCCACACGTCGCCGGGAGCTTGGGGCAGTGGTGCGGGGTGGGGGCCCTCCATGGACACAGCAGACCCGCAGTCCTACACGGCTCCTCAGGCTGGAGCTTGTCTGCCTCTCATTTAGACAACACTTAGGCCAAGACTATGAAAGAGAGTGATTTATTCAGACACGTACACACGACACCCACAAAACCCAAATTTCTAACAATTTGCAAAACATCAAGTCTGTGAAAGAACCCCTCACCAAGAGACAGAGAAAGATGGCCCAGCCCTGCCCAGGTCACGTCTGGGAGTATGTCTCCCCCCATGTACCTCGGGGGTGGAGTGGGGTGTATCTAAGGGGTCCTGAGCAGTTTTCCCAACAGGGCTGGACAGCTCTGGGAGTACAGGAGGTGAGTCCCAAGGATGCCGGCCAGGAGTCTCCCACCCACCACTTGGCTCTCTGGTCCTGCACAGAGAATCCTCGGAAAGTCCAATTTAACATAAACTTGCAGATTTTTGCATGGACAGTGGAGGTGACCGGTTCTTGGAAACAAACACCCAAGTTCACGTAACTTTGGATCAGGTTGGGTGTGGCATCCCATCCCCCACGGGAGGGAGGCGCCAACGCCGGCTTCAATAAGCAGCAGCAGGTAAACAGTCCCCCTGCCCTCATGGTCCCTGATGTCTCTCGGGACGCATGGACGGTCCTCCACCTCGGTGGCCAAGGCTGAGTTATCCTACAACCCATCTTTTCCAACATCTGGCTAAATATTCACGCAGTTAATGTCCTCTCAAGAACGTACGAAGTGTGATGCGGGGGGGGGGGTCTGCCTTAAGTCACCCGAGCTGAGTTTTATTTAACTGCTCATCTATTGCTGGCAGCCAGATGCAGGGATTAAGCAGATCAGCCTTCACGACGCCCAGGTGTGGCCAAGACTCTGTCAGACGGGTGGGCCCCACCGGGCTGGCCAAGTTCTCTCAAGCTCACTGGCCTCTTCTGGACGGGCCTGAGAACAGTGCTCTTGGTCATGGGGTGAAAGCCCCAACCTCACTGCAAGAACCCCAAGGTCGCAGGGGACCTTGAGAGGAAAGGGCAGAGGCACCAAGACTGGATCCAAGGGGCCGAGATGAGCGGGCAGTGCACAGCAGCCCCCACCCACACGGCAGCTGACTCTCCGGGAGCGGGGCGGAGATGGACCACCCGTCTGCTCCCCAGGCCCTGCTAGCAGGTGTGTGCTGCAAGGCAACGCATGCACACACACAGCTGTGCACACACACATAAGCATGAGCACAGGCACAGTACACAGATGCTTGCACACTGGGACACACACACACATGCAGACACACTCACACACATGCAAATACACTCACACTGGCTCATGTACACACTTGCTCACATGTGCTCACGTGCACATATACACATCCATGTGCACACTCACATGTGTGTAACCACACCAGGAGGGTGTCCCTTGTTATGCACACATGCTTGCACACATCCACACATGAACATGTACACATGCACATGTATACACACTCACACATCCACACATACACGGACATACCCACACACAGGATACACTCTTACACGTGCATACTCACAGTGTACACATATACACATGTGCACACTCACATGAACAATACAGGCACACACACCCATGTATACATGCTCCCACACATGCACCCTCACATAATACACACATGTGCACACATGTGCAGCCCACTCCCTCCTCAGACACCACCCCTACCCCACAGGCTGGGCTGCCTAGGACCACAGGTCACCGTTCACTGAGGCCGCAGACACTGCGCTGACAAGTGCCCGCTGGTCCCCTGGCCTCTGGAAGAGGTTCCTGATGAGCTTGTAGATGGCGAAGCAGGGGATGACCAAGCAGGGGACCCCAGCAACAATGACCACCACGGCATACACCCAGCCCGGGTACTTGATCTCCTTGGATTTGGGAAATTCCTCCTGGAGAGAGAGCAGCCTTGGGTGAGCAACCAGGCAGCCGGGGTCTCCCTTAGGGCAATGTGCCCACCCCTCGCGATTCCCTCCTGGCTTCCAGAGGGAGGGGGAGCCTGCCCCTCCCCACCCGGAGGCCCAGGACTCACATAGGCTGGGTCCCAGATGTTGTATGTCAGCTCCTCCCTGACCTCGATCACGAAGAAGAATAGGAAGATGGCCAGCATGAGCAGGGGGCTCACCACTCTCCACGTGACCTGCCAGAAGATGTTGGGCTTGTGGCCGATCATGAACTCGATGTCCCTGTTGAACCTTGAAGCAGAGGCCAAAGGGCCTTTAGTCCCGGAGGCAGAGGAAGGCAGAGAGCGGCAGCCTCCCCACGCCTGGAGAGCTGGTCTCTGCTCTGTGATGCTGCACTCTGGCCTTTCACATCCATCGTGGCAGACACGCCGTCTCTGGGAAGCCCCGCCATCTTGCGGTGCTACTGCTGGGCTGGATGCGTGGATGCTCGTCAGAGGCCGCGTGCTCCTCAGCCCCAGGCAGAGCTGCTGGGGCTGAGGAAGGGAGCTGTCCGGCTCCCTGTCTCATTCTCCTCGGCAGGGCAGTAGCTCTGACCCTGGGCAGCCGCACCAGCACTCTTAGTGGTGCCAGCACTGGGGGCCTTAACGGGCCCCCTCCACAGGCTTGTGCATTTAACCTTATTGATTCACCAGATCGTTTATGGAGCAGTGGTGAGTCCAGTTCCTATTAAGAACAGAGTGCCAATCCGTGATGCCCTGAATGACTGGCCCAGGGATGGCTGACCCTGCCGCACTTGTCCACCTGTCTTCGCCTGAGCCTCTGTCTGGCAGAGGAACTCTGCTCACACCCCTGGAGGCAGGCCCAGCAATGCAGTGGGGGCTGGAATAAAACACCAGCTCCCTCCATCCTCCAGGCAGGGTCCTGGGAGGGGTCCTGGGGAAGCCCCTCGGCCCACAGCAAACCTGTGCACCGTCCTGCCTTCTCCCACTCGCCCCGAGACCGGGCTGCCTCCTGCTGCTGCTGACAGTGCCCTTCCCGAGGCCTGGGGGGAGGCATCTGGACGCTGCAGAGGGCGCGTCTGCACAAACCCTAACCCTAACCCCCCTCCACCCCGCGCCAGTTTCATGGGCTCTCCGTTGCCCTCCCAGGGTCAGGCCACCCCCACACCACGCCGGACAGAAGAGACACCTGCGCGGCCCTGCGCGCGCCCCGCATGGGATTCCCCATCCCCGGCCCCCACCTGTCTACGCCGTACACATAGACCACGGAGAACATCTCGAAGAAGGCGATGACGAGCAGGGGGATGGAGCCCGCGTAGCTGTCCAGAAGAGACAGCCAGTACTGGCCGGAGTTCAGTGTGAAAATGAAGGCGATGAGGTACATCCCCAGGCAGATGAGGCCTGTGGGGCAGAGGGCGGGGGTGCGGTCACGGGCATCTGCCCCCACGCCCGCTGCAGTCTCCCTCTGGCGGCTGCGCCACGGCCTCGATCCCCACTGTGCCCTCTAAGCAGGTCCTCCTGGCCCCACCCACAGGCCCCGCCCACAGTGCCCACAGGCCCCGCCCACAAGCCCACAGGCCACGGCCCCGCCCACAGACCCGCAGGCCCCACCGTCCCCACAGGCCCGGCCCACACCCCGCCCACAATCCCACAGGCCCGGCCCACACCCCGCCCACAATCCCACAGGCCCGCCCGCATCCCCGCCCACAACCAAGGCCCCGCCTACCAACCCACAGGCCCCACGCCCCACCCACCACCCACAGGCCCCGCGCCCACCGCCCCGCCCACCTGTGAGCAGCTCCTTGGGCCACTTCTTGGGGATGACTCTGAGGTCTTGCAGGGGCACGATCACACCCTCCATGTTGCCGAACATGGACGACAGGCCCAGGCAGAAGAGCATGACGAAGAAGAGGACGGACCAGAGCGGCGCCACTGGCATCTTGGTGATGGCCTCGGTGAAGACGATGAAGGCCAGCCCGGTGCCCTCCACGCCCTGCAGGGCAGCAGGCGTGTCACCCGGGGCCCTCCGAGGTGCCCGCTGGCCAGTCTGGCCCTGACCCTGGACGGCTCTGCACCTGCCAGGCCGACACCCACGCAGTCATGGCTGATGAGGGCCGTTCTGTGGAGTGACCGCAGCGCGTGCCTTCTAGCTCCAGGTGCATTCTAAAAGGCTGAACTGGTTACAACGCTGGGAAGTTGACCGCATTGTCCAGCAGTGTTCGGGGCCCAGACAGAGGTGTTCAGCAGATGGGCATGGACTGCCATCTGCTCACCAGGGGGTGTCCCCCTCCCCGCCCCGCCCACAGCTGAGGCCATTGGGCGAACTGACTTCAGTGGGCCTGAGCGAGTCCCCGAAACAGACCCCCTGGAAGTGCGCCCACCACTGCTCAGAGCGGCCCGCGGGGCAGGTAGCGCCATAAACGTGCTCGTGGGTGCATAATGACCACACTCTGCATGGAGGGGCCCACGCAGGTGAGTGAGGCCTCGGGCACTGGGCCCCCTTCTTAGGGCTCAGGGTTCCCAGGAGTTGAACTGCTGCAGAGAGCCCTGAGCTCGGAGGGGCTGAATGAGGAGCCAGTGGATCCAGCGGGATCCCACAGGATCCCCCTTGCGGCATCTGCCCACATTCCTGGGACGCGAGGAGTCAGAGCCGTGGGGAGGCTGAGGGGGGTCGTCCCAGCGCCATGGAGCCCTCATCGCAGAGCAGCAGTCCGGGAGGTCTAACAGCCTGTACCCGTGGGAAAGCGGAAGCCCGTCAGCACTGCCCAGGGCTAGGGGCGGGCGCTCACTGCTGGTGGAAGACTACCAGGGGTGCAGGAGGGCATAAACCGACTGCGTAAACTCACTAAACCCCCACAAACTGAGCTCCTAGGCAAGAACTGGCACCTCGAGACGGTCGCTTTTTAAAAGGAAGGGGGACTGAGACTCGCAGCCCCTGTGACGTTCCCTGGAGAGAGCCAAGCAGGGAGGACCCTCTGCCGTGTCCACTCCTGGAAAGATGGTGCTGTCGCTGGAGAAGCAGCACCAGGCCTTCAAAATGCTCAACACGCCCCAGAATGTGCGGCTCCCAATAAGAGAACTGCAAAGCTAGGATTAGTAGATGCCAGCCTACGAGCAATCACAGCAGGAGATGTCGCTTGTCCTGGGGGCGGCACCCGAGCTCGTGTGCATCCCGGGAGCCTGACGGCCACCAGTGATTTCAGGACAGCGACAACGACTCTGACCTTTGTGTAGGAGAATTATGGTAAAAACGGACCACGGGGTGTTTCTGTGTGATTGACGTGAGGCCACGGGAGAGGTCAGGCCCATGGCGGGCATCTCATGGCCTCACGCGCGGGGCTCGTGGCCCAGTAGGTGCTGGCGCCCTAGACCCAGTGCCTGAACCCGCGGGGCAGGACGGCCAGTGTGGGCGGCCATGTGGCACGGGGCAGGTCTGTCCTAACTGGACCTCCAGGGGAGGCTCGGTGTCCACCCAAGGTGCCTGCTGCCCTGGCCCTACCTCTGAGAGGAAGGCGTTCATGTCGCAGGTCTGGAACTTGAGCTTGGCGTAGGCCACGGGGTCGGAGGCGTTGCACCACTGCTGCATCTCAGCAAAGTTCTCCTGCGTCACATTGCCTTCGGGCAAGTCGAACCCGTTGATGAGCGTCAGGATGTTCCTGCAAAGAGAGCGAGGCTGACATCAGTCCGGCAGGCTCCTTGGAGGCGGAGGAGGGGACGAGGCCACCACAGCTGCTGCGGTGCCCGCTGGCCACTCACGTGCTGAAGCAGTCATCGTAGCGTTCGGTGGCACGGAAGCCAATGATGGAGTAGACAACGGTGGCCGCGTACACGGACGTGAAGCCGTTGATCACAGACACGATGACCGAGTCCATCTCGCAGTTGTTGCTGTGGACGGAAGTGGCATCGGTGAGCACAGGAGGGTGCAGTGTCTACTTGGCCAGCCCACGTCGGCACAGGTGGTCAGAGCTGCATCTTGGGTCAGCCGGACAGGCTGAGCCGCCGCTGGGCAGCGAGAGGGGAGGGCTCGCCGAGCATCAGGTGATGGCCCCCACGCCTGCTGCAGCCTGCTAGCCCCTTGGTGCCCCCATGCCCTAGGGACCCCGGAGCTGGGGCTGAAGACCCTGTGTTCAGGTCCCTACTCGGCCAGTATCTGCTCTGGGCTCAGGAGGTGATGCATCAGCCCTACTCGTGCAGGACAGCCTGGACCTTCTGACCACCAGCCACAGAGGCCTCAAAGAGGCAGCCTGGGCCGGGTGCCCCCGTCCCCAGGCCTGGATGCCTCCCTCCCTCCTCCCCCACTCCCTGCCCCTACAAACGCTGCCACCCCCCCAGCTCACCCCAGGCCTTCATGGCTGAGGACGCCCATCTCCACCTCGCCACCTAAAGCCTCCCTCAGCTCGGTGCATGACCCCTGACCTCCCACCGGCTGAGGCACCATCCTTCCAGGTGCTTCCGTCAAGAACCCCCAGGCAAATGCAAACCAGACCCCAGTGAGGGGCTTCCCTGGTGGCACAGTGGATGGGAGCCCGCCTGCCAGTGCAGGGGGACACAGGCTCAATCTCTGGTCTAGGAGGGTCCTGCAGGTTGCAGAGCAACCAAGCCTGTAAACCACAAGAGAAGACACTGCTCGCTGCAACTGGAGAAAGCCCACACAACGCAATGAAGACCCAGGGCAGGCGGGAAAAAAAAATACTAAAAAACAAACGTAAAGCTCAGTGAGCTGCCTCACCCACCCCTGCGGCCGGAACCCAAGCATCTGAGAGCATTGGCGTAGGCGAGGGCGGGAGGACCCAGGCTCCCACTCGGCCCTACGGGGGCTGCAAGGGGGCAGCGGCTGTCAGACAGTTAGACCTGGAGCCACCACGAGGCCCACGCCCTGCCTCAGGGCGCACACGTGGGGAACGAAAACAGGTGCCCACGGAGCTCGAGCACAGATGTTCTCAGCAGCCAGAGAGCAGGGACAGCCCGGCGAGGCCCGTCTGCAGGCCAAGGATGAGCCGGCCTCGAGAGGGAGACGGACACGCAGGCCAAGGTGCGGGGCGCCGGGGGACTGCTGCACCCGCTCCCCACAACTCCTGAGAATGCCTTCAGCTGGGAGCCTGGCCTGCCTGCCTCTAGCCCCACCGCCCACCATCCAGGAGACTTGGACCGGCACCCCTGGAGAGTGCCCACCCCCCTCCAGCCTCACAGCAGGTCCGATGGGGAGACCGAAGCGCCAGGCGCCTGGAGGAGCCGCCCCCTGCTCCCTGCAGGACCCCGTCCAGCGTACTCACTGGACAGGGTTGTAGCTGGAGAAGGAGATGAGGCCCCCGAAGGCCAAGGAGAAGGAGTAGAAGACTTGGGCCCCTGCGTCCAGCCAGGTGACCGGGTTGGCCAGCTCCGTGACCTGCGGCCAAACAGAGACCCTCAGCCGTGTACCATGGGATGGGGGGGGGGCACCCAGGAAGGGCATCCAAGGAGGGGACAGGAGCCTGGAGGCGAGGTGACAGCTGAGGCCACTGAGCAGAAGCCAGAGGGAAAACGACCCTGAGGCGACAGCTGGTGGCCCTCTGCCCCAAGCTACACGCGAGCTGGCACGCACTGCCCGCGCAGGCCCGGCCGGTGTCCAGGGGCGCTGGACAAACATTCACAGCAGCCAGGAAGCGGGAACAGCCCAGGAGGTGCCGGTCTGGTGTCCAGGGACCGGGGTGGGCGCGGAGCCCAGGGGTGGGCAGGCAGCCTAGGCTTACGTTGGGCGTGAAGAGGAAGACAATGCCATTGGTGGCTCCCTTCAGCGTCAGGCCCCGGATGAGAAAGATGGTCAGGACAACGTAGGGCAGCGTGGATGTGATGTACACGGCCTGTGGGAGGCGGCAGCTGTGGGCCGGGAGGCCGGGCAGGGGTGGGGGCCAACCGCCAGGAGGACGGCTGACCCTGGACCACGCCCCCTCCTCCCTCGCCCTGGCCCCAGCCTCCCCCTCTGGTTTCCGTGTCCTCTCGTGACCACAGTCACCGTTCAGCTCCCACCATCCAGACAGGCACCAGTCTGTCCCGCCTGCGGCTTCTGAAGTGTGTGTCTGGGAGCCGTCTGGTCCAGCACTGAGTCTGGGGCGCTGCCCTGGGCCACCAGCAAACGCTGCCCAGACAGAGGGCGGGCGGGGGCCAGACCCTCAGAGATGCTAAGGGGCCGTCCCCCAGAGCGCCCACAGCCCCGCACCTTCCCGGTGGTCTCGATGCCCCGGATGGTGCACACGTAGAGCACGCTCCAGGCGCACGTCAGGGCCAGCAGGATCCACCACTGCACGGAGCCCGAGTCATCGATGGAGGTGGAGATGTTGAGGGTCTCGCGGTACCAGAAGTAGTCCACAGAGGAGCTGCGGGCACACTCCTCCACGTAACCTGACGGCGTACCACGCCAGTGAGGGCCACGAGAGCGCGGGCCCAGGGCACTGACACCAGGACACACTGAGCTTGTGCACACACGTGCACACCCACACGGATATACCCAACAGGCAGCACAACATACTTACACATGTGTGTGCACACCCACATAGATATACGCAATGGGCAACATGTCCACAACATACTCACACATGTGTGCACACCCACACGGACATGCCCAACAGGCAGCACCACATACTTACACATGTGTGTGCACACCCACATAGATATACGCAATGGGCAACATGTCCACAACATACTCACACATGTGTGCACACCCACACGGACATACCCAACAGGCAGCACAACATACTTACACATGTGTGCATCCCACACAGATACATGCAACAAACAGCACGCACAATGTATTTATACATGCGTGCACCTCGACAGACAGCATGCACCACATACATGTGTGTGCACACCCATTCAGGACACCAACAGACAACATGCAAAATGTACTTACACCTGCACATCCACAAAGACGCGCACAACAGAGAGAATTCACTATGTGCACACATGTGTATGCATGCCCACAGAGACACACCCAACAGCATGCACAACATACATGTATGTATACACATCACACTTTTATGCACTTGTGTGCATATGAACATACTTGTAGGCACACATAAGCATGCACAAACCAAACAGATTTGCATGTATAGTCACATGCAGACCCATGCACACACTTGTGCACACAGGGAGCATGCACACCGGGCCTTGATGACCTGCCCCTCCCCCAACCCTGCCCCAGGCAGGCACTGACCCAGGGCTTAGCTGGGAGTCAGAGCCCTGGGTCATTCAGAGCACTCAGTCATTCGGGAGGCCAGCAGTCTTTGCGGGTCACACGCCAGAGCCTGCACCAGGTGGCTCTGTTCAGCCTCACACATTCTCTCTGCTCTAGACCTAGCATCTCAGGGTCCTGGTTGCCCCCCTGGGCTCATGAGACCCCAGTGGGACCCTGCCAAGACAGGAGTGGTCTAATCCTGACAGAAACCTCCCACCCTACCCCGCCCACATCCCCTAAAGGGCCCCGGGTGCAGCCAGGGATGCCAAGGAGCAGGTCTGCCCCTTACTGCGGTTTGAGTTTTTGCTAAACTTGGGCGATGACCATGTGGCTGTTAGAGATTCAGGGGGCGCTGCTCACAGGCCAGCCCCGCCCCCACCAGCCCGCCGAGGGCTCACCTGTCTCGTTGGCGTTGAGTGGACACTGGCTCCAAGGCAGCGGCTCCTGGAAGGAGTTGAAGAAGTACCACATGACCCAGGCGATGATGGTGTTGTAGTAGAGGCCCACCATGAAGGACACGAACATGGACGCGATGCCTGGGGGGAGGGGACGTCAGTGCTGGGGTGGGGGTCACTGCTGAAGTGCGGGTCACTGCTAGGATTGGGGGTCCCTGCTGGAGTGGAGGCAGTGCTCGGGTGGGGGTCACCACCAGGGCAGGGTCACTGCTGGGGAGGGGGGCATGGCTGGGATGGGGGCATTGTTGGAGTATGGGGGTGCTGGGGTGGGCAAAGCAGCTAGGGTGGGCAGTCACTGCTGGGGTGGGGGTGCTGGGCTAGGGGGTCACTGTGGAATGAAGGGTCAGTGCTGGAGTGAAGGCCATCTCTGGGGGGAGCCTCCTGGCCCACTGGGTGTGAGTGAACAGAAGGGTCCTGGGCCGCAGGCGGGCACCCCCGCGGTCAGTGTCCCTCCTGGTCCCTGCTCTGGGCAGGAAGTGGGGGGCTCTGCTCTCCCCCTGTGTCGCCCCCGCCAGGCCCTGTGCTCCTCGGGTACCCAGGACAGCCTCTGCAGCCCGCCCCCCACCCCCAAGAGCGTCTAAGAAAGGTGTGGCAGTAGCCTCAGGGTGGAGGCGTGCAGCCCTGGGCTGTCTCCTCCCCGAAACCTAAAGGGAGCAGTGGGTGGCGCGTGCTGCCAGCATGGACCCCAGGCTGAGCCTCGGCGTGGACACACCTACGCCCTTGAGGGCCGGGTGGATGGCGCTCCAGACGCCCACGCTGCCCTTGCGCAGCCGCTGCCCGATGGCAAACTCCAGGTGCAGCAGCGGTATCCCCTCCAGGACCAGCAGGATGAGGAACGGAATCATGAACGCTCCTGCGGGGCGGGGGGCGGGGGGACGTGGTCAGGGCGGCTCGCTGGATGGTCACATGACTAAGGATGTCGCCTTTGACCACACCCTTGACGGTCATTGGCGTGTTTGCGGGGAGCTTGTGCCACCTCCTCGCGGTGGCCGGCTTGTCCGCGGTCCCCACAGGATGCTGCCTAACCCCCAGTCCCTGGACAGCTAGGATGGCGTCCGTGTGTGGGAGGAGCCCAGGGAGGGGCACACGCCGGGGTGAGCCCCTTGCGGGTGTGGGCCCATGGCACCCTCACTGGAAGGTGGGGAAGAGGAAAAGGCCAGGAGCTCCGAGGCCAGCCCAGACCCTGCACAGAAAGGGGTCTGCATCTGAGCCCTGGGGACCCCACTCTGGGCCAGGGAGCAGCAGGACCTGGGGTCTGTGTCTCTGCTCACTGATGGGCCCCAGGGCCTGGCCCACCCGGAGCAGGGGCCCCGTGAACACCTGCCTTCATGGTGCACGTGGGCCCACCATCCCAGACCCCCGAAGGGGTGAGCTCCCTCCTGCTGCTGCATCCTCCGCCCCCTCCCCAGGCCCTGGTTTTACCAGCCGTCCAGGCTCCTCCCCCTGACCCAGGCTCTGGGGGAACCAGGGGGAGGGGGGGCCTTGTCCATTGCACCCAGCCTGGCCCCATGCTGAGCACAGTCCTGCTGAGATTAGCACAGCGGCAGTTACCAAAGGTCATGGCTCTAGAGCTGAAACTGGCCGATAAGGATTGGAAACACTTGCTTCAGGGCTTAAAAGTGGATTCAGGTCCAGTCTGAGGGGCCCTCGTTGTCGGGCTCCCTGGGCACCTGGACCACCAGCAGTGGCCTGGGACGCCCTCCCTGAGGTCCCTCCGCTCTGTCCCGGGGTCTGGCAAGCCCTGCCGAGCGGCGAGGTCCACCCGCCCTGTCCCAGGGTCTGGTGCAGCCTGCCGTGGGGTGAGGTCCCCCTGCTCCGTCCCGGGGTCCGGCACGGCCTGCCAAGCAAGGGCTGAGGTCACCCTGCTCTGTCCCGGGGTCCAGTGCAGCCTGCCTCAGGGTGAGGTCCCCCCGCTCTGTCCTGGGGTCCGGCGCGGCCTGCCTCAGGGTGAGGTCCCCCCGCCCTGTCCCGGGGTCCGGCGCGGCCTGCCTCAGGGTGAGGTCCCCCCGCCCTGTCCCGGGGTCCAGTGCTGCCTGCCTCAGGGTGAGGTCCCCCCGCCCTGTCCTGGGGTCCGGCGCGGCCTGCCTCAGGGTGAGGTCCCCCCGCCCTGTCCCGGGGTCCAGTGCTGCCTGCCGAGGGCTGAGGTCCCCCCGCTGTGTTCTGGGGTCCGGCGTGGCCTGCCGAGGAGTGAGGTCCCCCTGTCCTGTCCCACGGTCTGGCGTGGCCTGCCCCGGGCTGAGGTCCCCCCGCTCTGTCCCGGGGTCGGGCGAGGCCTGCCTCAGGGTGAGGTCCCCCCGCCCTGTCCCGGGGTCCAGTGCTGCCTGCCGAGGGCTGAGGTCCCCCCGCTCTGTCCCACGGTCTGGCGTGGCCTGCCCCGGGCTGAGGTCCCCCCGCTCTGTCCCGGGGTCGGGCGAGGCCTGCCATGGGCTGAGGTCCCCCCGCTCTGTCCCGGGGTCGGGCGAGGCCTGCCTCAGGGTGAGGTCCCCCCGCCCTGTCCCGGGGTCCGGTGCTGCCTGCCGAGGGCTGAGGTCCCCCCGCTGTGTTCTGGGGTCCGGCGTGGCCTGCCGAGGAGTGAGGTCCCCCTGTCCTGTCCCACGGTCTGGCGTGGCCTGCCCCGGGCTGAGGTCCCCCCGCTCTGTCCCGGGGTCGGGCGAGGCCTGCCTCAGGGTGAGGTCCCCCCGCCCTGTCCCGGGGTCCAGTGCTGCCTGCCGAGGGCTGAGGTCCCCCCGCTCTGTCCCACGGTCTGGCGTGGCCTGCCCCGGGCTGAGGTCCCCCCGCTCTGTCCCGGGGTCGGGCGAGGCCTGCCATGGGCTGAGGTCCCCCCGCTCTGTCCCGGGGTCGGGCGAGGCCTGCCTTAGGGTGAGGTCCCCCCGCCCTGTCCCGGGGTCCAGTGCTGCCTGCCGAGGGCTGAGGTTCCCCCGCTGTGTTCTGGGGTCCGGCGTGGCCTGCCGAGGAGTGAGGTCCCCCTGTCCTGTCCCACGGTCTGGCGTGGCCTGCCCCGGGCTGAGGTCCCCCCGCTCTGTCCCGGGGTCGGGCGAGGCCTGCCCCGGGCTGAGGTCCCCTCCCCACCCCGGTTTGTGCAGCCCAGTCTCCCTGCCGTCCTCCACGCACCTCCCCGCCCCGCCTCCACCTCCCGAAACACACGTTGTCTGCTCCCCCCTCAAGCAGCTCAGATCCCTCACTTGTGCCCGCCTCTCTCCCGGACGCCAGCCAGGCCGCAGCCCCCGCACACTGGCCTCCTGGGCAGCGTGGGTGTCAGACCTGAGCGGGAGGTCCCTACTGGCGTGGCGCTGTGTATACGCGTGTATACACGTGAGTACATCAGTGTGTGGTGCATGTGCCTGTCCACACGTGTGTGTTGTGCCCACGTGCATGTGAATGAGTGTGTATGTGTGAGCATGTGGGTGCCTCCACATGTATCCAGACACTTAGTGTAAGCATGACACGTGTGTACACGTGAGTGTGCACAAGTGTGTACAAGTGTGCACTTCTGTGTACAAGTGAGTGTGTCCTTGTGTATGTATGGGCGTGCATGGATGTGCACATGTAAAGCTGAGTGTGTGTGTAGGTGTGTTTGAGAGTGTGTCCATGTGCACTCTTGTGCCTGAGTGTGCGCGTGTGCGTGTGTGTGTGTGTTGAGGGGGACCTGGAACATGTGTGCAGGGGGCTCCTAGTCTCTGCTGGCCCGGCTCCCCACTTGGCTCCTGGGTTAATCCTTCGGCCTTTTCTCTATCGCCTTCTCCATCTGCCTCCCTGGTGCCCTCTTGCTGGGGGCACGGGCCCCAGGGCCCGCGGCACTTTCTCCCACCTGTGGACCGCCCTCGGTCCCCATGCCAGGGAGCTGTGGGGCCACTGGCCGCACGCCTGGCCGCCCATCTGGGGCTCCGGGCACAGGCTTCTTCCAGGGCTGGTGCTGTGTGGGGCGGGGGGCGGTGTGCCGAGGGTCAGGGGGCGAGGGTGTGGGTTGGGACGCAAGGAAAGGCACCAGGAACGGGCCTCCCCCAGGCCAGATGCCTCAATGGAGGGGAGCCAGCAGCCTTGGGTCTGGGGCTCGGCCAGCTGCGGGCTCGGCGCCTGTCCCTCTGTCCATGGAGGTAAAGGTGAAGTAAGATTTGCCTCTCTGAGGTTCTTAGGAGCTGGATTTGAAAACCTGTGGAGCAAAACCACCAAGAAGAAAACATGCTCCCCATCCCCTTCCTCTCACGATGCCACTTTTACCGCTGGACTCCCTGCCCCTTCACCGCCAGTGGGAAACTCCTATTCATTCTTGAAAACCCCACTCAGACGGCGCCCCCGCCAGGAAGCCTCCCCTGCTCCCCGTGGTCCTGGCACCTACACCAGCCCCCCAGCCACCCCCACAACCTCCTGCAGGACCAGAGGCTCAGCTCCTACAGAGGCGGGAGGGTGGGGCCAGGACACATCCACCACAGCCCGCAGAGGTGGGCTGGGCCCAGCGAGCCCTCCATGTTCCACGTGGTGGGCCCCGCCTGGCGGGCACCCCCAGCCCTGGCAGCGCCAGCCAGAGGCAGGCCCTCGGCCCCTGGCTCTCTCCTGGGCGGGCAGCTCTTGGCTCCCTTTGGAGGTTGGGTCTGCTGCGGGGGCGGGAATGGGGGTGTCAAACAGAGGGGTGGGGCGGGCTGCAGATCTTAGGAGGCAGGGAAACCAAGGAGTGCCCGGCGCCCAGTGGGTTCCAAAGGTCCCCAGAGACGAGAGAGGAGACTGTCAGCCCCGAGGGAGGACACATGTGCAGAGAGATGTGGGGGCGGGAGGGTGACACGCCCCGGAGTGAGCAGTTCTAGGAACTCAGGAAGCGAGCCCGGGGAGGGGGAAGGGAGGGGAGGGAACTCGAGAGCCCCCGGGGCACAGGCTTAGGTGGGGCACCTCTCCGCCTCTGAGTCTGCCAGGAGCGCCCGGCTTTTGTGGCCACAGACCCTCAGCCGCTTCCAGGAGGGAAGCCCAGCGGAAGCGGAGGCTGCTGCCCCGCCCTCCCCTGCCCGCAGCGCCCAGAACGGACAGGAGCTACGCCTGCCCCTTGGGTGGGCTCCCCGGGACAGACGCCCTGGAGGCCGCGGGCCCCTCCTCCACTCCCCCGAAGCACGGGGGACCGCCGCCCGCCCTCACCCCTGGCCTCCCCTGCACCCCTGCCCCACTGTCGCTTAGGACTCGGGGCCGCTGGGAAGTGGAGCCGGCCCTCGAGGGGCAGGGGGCAAAGCCGCGTGGCAGGCCCTGCCTCCCCTGGTCCTCCCTGACGGCCGCCGGGGCCTGGTCCTTGCAGGCCTGTGGGGGCCCAGCCGGCCTCCAAGTTACAGGCACCGGGCTCTCCCACACCGGGGACTCTGGAGCCCAAGGCGCTGCCCGGAGGGCCTGGGGGCAGAGAGTAGGCCCAAGGCTGGCTCAGGGTCTAGGGTCACCACCCCTGGGCCCCGCACTTCCGTGGGCCCTGCTCGGCCGGGTCCCCCAGGGCGGCGCCCAGCCCGTGTGCACCTGCAGGCTCGCTGGATGGGCAGAGGCGGTGCCATGCTGGGATGGACACAGCTGGGTGGGGAGGCACCCCGGGTGGGCACACCTCCTGGCGCTGGGGAGGGCAGGATGGGGCTCGGGAGACGGAGAGCTGAGGCAGCACCTGGCCTGCAGACCCCAGCCTTGCGGTCAAGGGGCGGACCGCAGCGTGCACGCTGCCCGCCTGCTGACTCGACTCACAGGCGAGTGTGAGACCCTGGCTCGGCGGCCCGACAGGGTGCTCACCCAGGGACACGGGAAGGCAGGCGCGTGCAGGCCTGGGGGCGGGGCCCAACGAGGGGCACAGAGGACGGGAGGACAACACTGACCCGCGGGGGGCCGGGTGCGGGAGCCACGGGAGGGCTCCCACCTCCCTGAGCCCAGGGAGGCAGCAGAAGGTCCTCCTCAAAGCCGAGCGAGCTGAGACCCACGCGCCATCCTGCCCGCCCGCCTCTGGGAGCAAACCTGCCTAGAGGGGCCAGCTCCTCCAGCCTCACAGGCCTGGCTGCCTGCCAGGGCGAGCGCAGACCCCGGGGGAGCACAGGAGGGCAGCCAGCCTGCAGGAGGCTGGGCACAGCGCCTGCTCACCGGGCTCCTGCTCGGGGGACCGAGACAGTGCCACGGCTGGGGTCACGCGATGTGCACACAGCCGCTCACGGCCACCTTGAGCAAACACCACAGAACACCGCTGATGGTCAAGCCTACATCATGGGTCTGCATCGTGGCTCTCTCTACTTTTCTGTATAGACCTCCCCCCTCCCCACAATGTAAGTTTAAAAATAAAGCAAAAATTCGTTTACTTTTTGAATTACCCCAAACTCCTGGAAATAACTGGAGTAACTAAGTCACTAAGTTAAATAACTAAGCTTTCACCAAACCAGAACGGATGGGCAGGGATGGGAGGCCCCCTAAGACCCTCGAAGGTGTCTTCGACCACACAGCTGCTCCGCTCCCCACAGCTGGGGCTTCGGGGGTGGGAGTGTCACCCTGCCGGGTCCCCAGCCAGCCCGCCTTGGCCTCAGGGGCGGTCTCCTGGGTGTGGAGGGTGGGCCGTTAGGGCCCCAGCCCGCGAGCTGGCCCAGGGGACCGTGGGCGGGCCTCCTGAGGGACAGGGGCACGGGGGCGGGGCCCTGACCCACGTGGGGGCCGCGGCGTCCCCCTCCCCTGTGCGGGGGGCAGCGTGCACGCAGCAGCGTCCTCCCGGGCCCCCCGGCTCCCAGTCAGTGTGCACCCGGCCTCCTGGGGGTCTGAGTTCTTGGTGTCTGCTCTGGCCAACTGCCCGGAAGACCCCTAAGCTGCTTCTAGCATGGTCGCCCCGGAGCCCCCCCCAGCTCTGGGGTCCATCCCCCTCCTCCCAGGGACCTGCGGCGGGCCTCCACCCGCCAGCGGGGTCAATCCAGAGCAGCCCCCAGTGCCACACGCAGGGGAGCGGCCAGCCCTCCTTCTGGGCCCCGAGCTGGGGACCCTCCCCCAGGACGGCTCCCGAGGGGTCGTCACTGGCGTGCTGCAGAGGGCGGGGCAGCGGCCTCCCTGAGGGCCCCGCGGGCACAGGCTGCGACTGGGGCAGGAGCCCTGGCCTCCTGAGCTCCGCGGGCCCCAGCCCCCGAGGTGGCGGCCTCAGTCCAGGAGGCGCCAGCTGGCCCAGAGGTTCCGACCACACACCTTCCCTCCCAGGCGGCTCCAGCCCTTGGCGGTCCAGGGTGGCCACCAGGGAGACCCAGCACGGCCCCTTCCACCTGCTCCTCTGGAGGACACGCAGGTCACAGAGCCGCAGGGAGCCCGCAGTTTCTCCCCACGAGTTGGCTTGTGCCGCCCAAGGCGGGGTCAAGGTCTCCCAGAGGCAGGAGCATCCCCAGGCCTCCTTCCCGCACCCAGCTCCCCGGGCCGGCGCGGGGCCAGAGGGACCACGGTGTGACCTCTGTCCCTGCAGCTCCCGCACGGCAGGAGGGCAGGTAGAGGAACGGGGCTGTGGGACCCAGGCCCAGAGCTTGGTGGGTGGCGGGGCGCCTCAGCCCCTGTGGAGGGAGACCCCTGGGCTCCGGGCCAGGCCCCGAGGCCTCTGGCGGCAGCGGGATGTGCGGAGGCCCCGCTCCTGCCCGGGATGCACGTGGTTTCTCAGGGGTCACCTGCCCTCGGCCCGGCCGCCTCCTCTGTCCATCGGGGAGCTAAGTGCCTGCTGAAGTCAGGGTGCCCTTGATGACACAGGCTGGGTTCAGCCCGCTGCCTGCGTGGTAGGCTTGCTGAGGGCTGGCCTCACCTTCCTCGCTGAGAGGAGGGGCCCCCCGAGGAGCAGGGGGCCCCTCTGACGCCCCTGCCTGGGTCAGAGCAGGTCCAGGGCCACGGGAGGGCTCCTGGGCCAAGCCCGCCCCACCCTACACGACCTGGGATGCGGTGCCCCAGGAGGATGTCCCCGCTGGCCCGTGCTCCGGCAGGAGCCCCGGGTGGGGTGCAGCCGCGGGGGTCGTCCCGCCTGCCGCCCGCCCGCCTACCTCCGCCGTGACTCTGGCACAGGTAGGGGAAGCGCCACACGTTGCCCAGGCCCACGCAGAAGCCCACGCAGGTCAGCATGTACTGCGCCTTGTTGTCCCACTTGGGCCGCGAGCTGCTCTCCTCCTGTTCGATGCGCTCCAGCTCGCCCAGCGACGGGATCCGGGCCTCCAGGCCGGGGTTGGGCAGCACCAGCCTCACCATGGTGGTCCGGGCGGGTCCGCGAGCTCAGCGAGTGGCCACCGGCTGGAGACCTGGGGCTTTATAGGAAACCTTTGGCACGTCACCCCAGCACCTGGGCCGAAAGGAAGCGTCAGCAAATCCCAAGGGCGAGGCCGCCAGACTGTTAATGCCTTATCTGCAGAGGCGCCTGGACCCTCCGGCCTGGGCGGCCGTCAGCTCCGCCCCTGTGCAAACGGGACCCAGCGGCCCAGGTGAGCCTGGCCCCCAGCGCCCCCTGCACACACCGGGTGCTCCAGCACTCCAGGGGCAGAGACCCCCGATGGCAGATGCTGCCTGGCCCCCCGGGCTCTGAGCCGCTCCTCAGGGAGCGCAGCTTCAGCTGGGGGGCCTCCAGGCGGGGTCCTTGTCCCTTTGGTTCCCCCCGGGACTCAGAGCCACCGCCCTGATGTCTCCTGTCCACCGCCCGCCAGGAGGTGGGGCTTCTGTGCCTTCACTAGGAGCCTGGGCCGGGCACTGGGACAGGGCAGGAAGCAGGGTCCCCGCCTGCTGAGCGCAGCAGTCAGGCTGGGAGACTCGGGAGCCATCTGTGCGTCCAGAGAGCCGGGCGGCCCCCTTGGGTGACCACGGGGGTCTCGGGATGGTGGCCCCCCCGGCCTCCCAGCTGGGGCCACAAGAGGAGGACTCACGGGGGCTCCATCTAAGCCAGCCCTGGACCAGCCCTGCTGCCCACCACCACGCCACTGCGTGGATCACACTGACATTCCCGGAATAGCTTGTCCAGGGAGGGTGGGTGGGGGTCACGGGAGGTGGGGGGGGTTGTCGAGACCCTGACCTTTGCCCCCAGGATGGGGGAGGCGAGTCTGAGGAGGGAGGAAGCCCGAAGAGAGAGACCAGATACGCTTCCAGGGACATCTGGTTCCTGCAACAGACACAGACTGGACAGCTGAGCCGGAGGGGGAGGCAGAGAGAGAGATAGTGAGAGAGAGAGAGACAGAGACAGAGACGGAGAGAGACAGAGAGACAGAGAGAGACAGAGATGGAGGGAGAGACAGAGAGAGAGAGAGAGAGAGAGAGAGAGAGAGAGAGAGAGTGAGACACAGAGAGAGACCCAGAGGCAGAGAGGGAGACAGAAACGCAAACAGACCCCGGGTCAGAGCTGCTGGCAGGAGGCGGGGTGCGGCCCCCACGCTCCGGGCCCTGGAACCTCCACCAGCTCCCGAGACTCGAGGGCCGAAGGCCTCTGAGCCCGCTCACCTCGCCCCCCTCCAGCCAAGGCGCCTCCTTCTCCCCTGGGAATCAGATCCACCCGCCTCACGCAGGCCCCTGGCCCCGGCCCACGCCCCCCTGACGCGCACCCCGGGGTGGGGACCCTGGCTCCCGGCTCATGTCCTGCGTCCTGTATCCACTCCCCTCTTCCCGTCTGTTCACTCACGTTTGCCCCAACGACTTCTATCACAAAACAAACACTTGCTCGATGAGGAAAATCAGAGACTTCCCGCCAGGAGCTTTCTCCTTATTCCACACAGTTTTCTAAGTACGGTGACACATACTTACCCACGATGTGAAAACGTGCATGATTTTTACTAAACATTATGTCCTGAGTGTTCCTTTCATTAAATTAAACATTTTCAAGCTTAAAATCAGATTTGTTGTATTGTGTACGCTTTGTGAAACTTTCCTTTCAAACACTGTTTCTGATTCGGAACATCCCACAGGCCCTGTCTGCTTGCTCACTGTTGCAGAATGTTCCCCTGATACGGCACGTCTCTGCCGTTTGCAGTTTGTCCTCCTCCAATAACTATTGCTGTGGTGTGTCTGTGAACATGCGTCTTTTGTTATTGACTGACATGTTGGTGACTTTTCATAAAGTGGGCACATCCATGGAACCACCACCCAAATGAACAGCAAGAATGTCAGGCTTCCCCGGGTGGTCCTGGGCCAGGGACACAGGTCCAACCCCTGGTCCAGGAAGATCGCACATGCTAAGGAGCAACCAGGAGCCCCCGCACCTCAGACCCCGCGCTCCTCAGCAGGAGACGCCCGCCAGGAGAAAGCACCACCACCAGAGCAAGGCCCACGGCCAGCCATGGGGACCGGGAGCAGCCCATAATAAATAAATACATCATCTTAACAGAGAGAGCCAGAGCATCCCAACTCCCAGAGGCCCCGCGCCTCCCCAGCACCGTCCGTCTCTCTGTCCCCTGCCGTTCTGACAGCAGTGTGGAGTCTGCTCCCAGGCTCAGCAAGGCCCCCGAGTCCTCCACACCGTTGCCCAGCTGCCTCCTGGCAGGAAGGGCCTCGTCTGTCCCCTCAACCATCTTCCCGCTGTGGGAGAGCTCCAAAGCCCCTGCCCACCTCCTGGTGCCCGCGGGGAGGTACCCACAGGCAGACGGCGCCTCCCAGGTGGCACAGGGCCCGTCCACAGAAGATGCTGCCAGACTGTGTTCAAGGGGACCGAGCCAGTCACCCCCCAGCCAGCCGGGAACGCTCCATACACACAGTCACCAGTCACTGGCCTTTGCGCCCTGTGGCCACGGGGACCCTGCTGGCCCAAAGCCCATGCTGGCTTTGATCTGCGACACCACCATCCTCCCGTGAAGCCCACTTGGGTGTCCTTCCATGCGGGGTGCTGACCCTCCCTCTGCCCCCCAGGATGCGGTCCTGCTCCCTGGGCCCCGGGGGCCCAGCGAGCCTCCTCCCTTGCACTTGGGGTGCTGGGAATGAGGCGCCCTCCTTAGAGCGCGTCCCACCTGCCCTCCTTTAAAGGCCCTTTGCCCCCTCAAGGTTGTGAAGACGTCCTCACGTTTAGCCCAGGAGCATTCAGGTTAAGTCAGTAACCCTCGCAGAGTTGTCACGCGCTGCCTAAGGCAGCCTTCGATCAGCCAGGAGTCCTTCCTGGGGAGGGGGCGGTGACTGGGCACCATTGCTCAAAGCGCCTCCCTTTTCTGCCTCCTGCAGAGCTGGCTTTGCCACAGATGTTCACGCCTGTTGTCTCTTTCTCCACTTTCCGTTCTATGGCATTGGTCTTTTTGTCCACCATCTTCTCCAGGACTCACAGCTTTCATCCCTGAAGCTTTATCACAGGTCTCATTCCTTCCAGCCGTGTTCTTTAAAGCCACATACATTGTGGAGCAAGCTTGTAAGTCTCCACAGAAAAGCTGCTGGAATTGTGATTCAAGTGCATTCAATCTATAGCACAGTTTAAATGGGATCTTAACAATATAGGGTTTTTCAAACCATGAATGTAGCTCATCCCTCCATTAGTGTAGGTCTTTTTTCTCTCAATAATGTTTCATAGATTTTTTTTAAATTTCATTTTTCAGCTACACCTTGTTGCTTATGGGGTCTTTAGTTCCCTTACCAGGGCTTCAACTGCGCCCTCAGCAGTGAAAGTGCAGACTCCTAACCACTGGGTCACCAGGGAAGTCCCCGTTTCATTATGTGTGTGTGTGTGTGTGTGTGTGTATAGGATGTGGAGGTCTTCCGTCACATTTCTTCTTGCATCTGACTTTTTTGGGCTCTCAAAAAACCGAGAGTTCCAGAAAAACACCTATTTCTACTTTATTGACTATGCCAAAGCCTTTGACTGTGTGGATCACAATAAACTGTGGAAAATTCTGAAAGAGATGGGAATACCAGACCACCTGACCTGCCTCTTGAGAAACCTGTATGCAGGTCAGGAAGCAACAGTTAGAACAGGACATGGAACAACAGACTGGTTCCAAATAGGAAAAGGAGTATGTCAAGGTTGTATATTGTCACCCTACTTATTTAACTTATATGAAGAGTACATCATGAGAAACGCTGGGCTGGAAGAAGCACAAGCTGGAATCAAGATTGCCGGGAGAAATATCGATAACCTCAGATATGCAGATGACACCACCCTGATGGCAGAAAGTGAAGAAGAACTAAAGAGCCTCTTGATGAAAGTGAAAGAGGAGAGTGAAAAAGTTGGTTTAAAGCTCAACATTCAGAAAACTAAGATCATGGCATCTGGTCCTATCACTTCATGGGAAATAGATGGGGAAACAGTGGAAACAGTGTCAGACTTTATTATTTTAGGCTCCAAAATCACTGCAGATGGTGACTGCAGCCATGAAATTAAAAGACGTTTACCCCTTGGAAGGAAAGTTATGACCAACCTAGACAGCATATTAAAAAGCAGAGACATTACTTTGCCAACAAAGGTCCGTCTAGTCAAGGCTATGGTTTTTCCAGTGGTCATGTGTGGATGTGAGAGTTGGACTGTGAAGAAAGCTGAGCGCTGAAAAATTGATGCTTTTGAACTATGGTGTTGGAGAAGACTCTTGAGAGTCCCTTGGACAGCAAGGAGATCCAACCAGTCCATCCTAAAGGAGATCAGTCCTGGGTGTGCATTGGAAGGACTGATGCTGAGGCTGAAACTCCAATACTTTGGCCACCTGATGCGGAGAGCTGACTCATTGGAAAAGACCCTGATGCTGGGAGGGATTGGGGGCAGGAGGAGAAGGGGACGACAGAGGATGAGATGGTCAGATGGCATCACCGGCTCGATGGACATGAATTTGAGTAAACTCTGGGAGTTGGTGATGGACAGGGAGGCCTGGAGTGCTGCAATTCATGGAGTCACAAAGAGTCGGAAATGACTGAGTGACTGAACTGAACTAATGAATAATACTGTTCTTAATGTTTATCTTCTCACAGTATATTGCTAGTACACATAACAACACAAGTCTCCTCCTCTGTTGTTCCCTTCTCCTCCTGCCTTCAATCTTTCCCAGCATTAGGGTCTTTTCTGATGAGTTGGCTCTTTGCATCAGGTGGCCCAAGTATTGGAGCTTCAGCTTCAGACCTTCCAATGAATATTCAGGGTTTATTTCCTTTAGGATTAACTGGTTTGATCTCCTTGCTGCCCAAAGGACTCTCAAGAGTTTTCTCCAACACCACAGTTCAAAAGCATCAATTCTTCAGCGCTCAGCTTTCTTTATAGTCCAACTCACACATCCATACATGACGACTGGAAAAACCAAAGCTTTGACTAG